CTACAGAACGGACCCTAAAAAGTTTTACGATTTTCGAGAAACCGCAATGATTCATCGTAACTTTAATTCTATAAAAGCCATTCGAATCGACGTTTTTTTCAACTACCGAGATGATGTTCCATGCCAGATGATCTATTAGCCGCATGATGGACAAAGAAAAAAAAATTCCAGGGGAAAAAAGTTCTCTGAAACTTTTTCAAACACTGTTTCTGTTGAGCCAGTTCCAAGATGTGAGACGTCGAAATCCTGTTTCAAACTATTCTTTCACGAGGATTAATTTTTAAGGCATCTGAATTAATAAAATAAAAGATTGGATTTACTTTAAAACTGAGACGAGATAGGATTACAAAAATTTCTAAGAAGTATTTTCAAGGCGTGAATTCTTCAGTCTATGCAATTATCAACAGATGTGAAATGGATTTAAAAGTTTTTGAGCCTGATTTTTTTTCAAGTCAGAATAAAGCAAAGCTGAAAGACGATGGGAACCTTTTTCAATTTTTTTGGCTGACCTTGATCGTCATGCTTGTGGAGAGAGAATTGGAACATTCCTAGCGTTTGGGAATAATCTAAGATGCAGTTCAATTTTTATTTTTCAGCAAGTTTAGGGTCAAATTGCTGTTAGTAAAACAGGGCTGTGGAAAAAGTCGATTTCAAATTTTCTGTCGAGGAATTTTCTTTTAATCGTCGTGAGAAAAACTTGAAGACATTTTTGACGAAAATATTCACTGAATTTCGGAATTTTTTTTGGCGTCCGGTCGGATTTCAGTCATTTGTTTTCATATTGAAATGATGGTTGACTCGATTTTTTTATGATTGAAAAAATGATAATACTGTAATGAATTGCGCAGAAAATGTTTAATGATTATTTGCGGGTTTTTGGCAAATGAACCCAGGCCTGCGTCCATTGACGGGTCCATCATCCTTAAACGCTGCCCAAACACTCGGGAAGGCGAAAGCGCATTCGTCACTCTCGTCGGACGCGTCGATGAGTCCGTCGACTATCCCATCAATTGCCACGTGCCAAAATGGTGACGTGAGGTCGACAGCAGCTGTGTCGTCGCCGACACGGGTCCACCTGTCTGCATTGGCTCGACGTCGGAACCCGGTCCAGTAGTGGGCGAACCCGGAAGTGTCGTGGTCATTGGCCCAAAACTCGGCCGGAAGTTCGGCTGCCGGGTTCCGGGCCAGGTCAGCACCTGGGTGCATGTAGCGACACAGTTTCCGGGCCGTGTCAAAGTCGGCTTCGTAGTTTGATTTGTAGTAGCATTGATCGTCTTCGTCGGGTATTTGCTGCCAAGAACCCGGACATCCGAGTTTTCCGGGCCCCGCACAAAGAAATCTGCATTCGAAAATTGAAAATTAAATGCTAAATTCAACCACAGTACTGTACTGTATTTCAAGCACAACGAAAATTGAAAGCCATTTTGCGTGATGGCTGAAAAGCGTCATCAAAAATTTTTCCCTCGTGTTTGTCACACTTTCGTTCCTGGTTATAATTTGCACAAAAAATTGAATAAGACTGGTTTCTTCAAATTTTTTGAAATTTGATTTTCAATAATCGCCAAAATATTCAGCAAGATCACACTCAAAAGGCAATGAAATGGATCTTTCTTTTTGACCGAATTCAACTACTCAGAAGTCAGTTTTTTATTTATTTAGTTTGAATTAAATTTTCTGTTTGCTGCGTATTCCGTACGGTTGTCTCAATTTTACAAAATTTGGAAATTTTCAAATCTGAGGGTTGCAAAATGAAATCGCATAAAAAATGTTTTTCGATTCAGCGCCGACATTGTTACAAAATTCTTCGGAATTGTTGATTTGCCCATGGGTCCCACATTTATTTCGACTGAAAAATGTATTTATCACGAAACGTTTCTTGACGAAACTCTTTGGCAGAAACGTATTAATACAGTATGAAATGAAAGTCGAACATTTTTTTTTTTCAAAGTTTCCATGATTTATTTGGACATGTGTGTCAAATATTCCGTTTCTCCGGTTCTTCGAATTTGTGATTTAATAGAACGCAATTTTTCATAAACTCGGAGAATAATTTGTTATTCCCAAGTTCTACCGAGATTTTCGAATTGTTTTTTTTTTCGTTGAAGGAACACTCCGTTAAATGTATGTATTTTCTGTTTCTTGAAAGTAATTTTTGTTCAGTATGTTCATCGATATCATGAAGGGCATCAACATTGAGGAGATTGAACAATTTCATTAATGTTGATGCCTTTCACGATATCAATGTCTTTCGGGGATGGGTTTTTTTAGTTCATTTAAATTTATATGCGTAGAGAAATAAAATCAGCCTGCTGATTGGAAGAAAGAGATTGCTTTCATGATCAACTGCATTATCGCAAATCCCACGCATTTTTGCCAGAAATTAGTATTGCCAAAAAAAAACCTGCATCACGTGCTTCGTAAATTATCCATGACTGCATCGCTGCCTTCACTCTAAATAATCCCTGAGCTTTCCCTCTCGTTTTCTTTTCACAAATTTCCACTCGACGCTGTAAATAACGAGAATTTCGTTCCAAGACGGGCCTTTGAATGAAATTCCCTCATAGTTGGTGTGCACTGTTGAAACTTCAAAGCAGTGGGTTATTTCCGTCCTCAGCAATTTTCTCTGAAGGACGGGTTTGCTGGCGGATTTCGGTTGCAAACGTGGGCGGTAGTGTTTTTAATTCGGTTAAACTGGCAAAAAAAAAATATCGCATTCCGAGCTTGTTTTCTTATGGTTTTATTTGCGAAAATTCTTGTTTATTTCATGGCTTTACTTCGAAATGAGGCATAATTTTTGAATGGTTGCTCTCAGTTGCGAAAATAATTGCCAGTCTCTAATTGAAGACTTTCCGCTAATTTTTAGAGTTCAAATATACAAAATCATAAGATCCTTGGCACAGGTGTGTATAGGTGAGAAAAAAGAGACTGTTTCGTGAATTTATCGCAATCATTTGAATAATATCTAATGATTCAACAAGTTTTTTAAGAAATCATTCGGATGTCGCAACAAACGTTTCTCAAAATTTATTCGTAAATTGTTGGATGTAATTTTTGCGTAATAAAGAACTATTTCCTGGTTTCTGTTAATAGTTTTTCCTCATCGAGTTTCAAAGGAACCAGGTTACAGAGGAAATAAGGTTTGCCCGAGCAAACGTTTTTTTTTATTATGTATTTCCAGATATTTTTTCAAGGCGAATTGAATATTTTCGAAGTACATAGGGAAGGATTTTAAGCAGCAGAAACACATGAAACGACGTAATTTAAATTGTTTCAATGATCAAGCAGTTATTTTTTCATTCGTGGGTTCTTATGCAGTACTGGAAAATTCGGGGCACCAAAGTACTTCCTTTCAAGGTACTGCATGTATTACTGAAGAAGCCGCTTACGCGCATGGGACCGATTTACTTGAATTAAGTACCATTTTTGCCTTTCTGTTTCGCGAAAGAAATATTTATTCCAATATAATATACCATAAATTGGCAAACCTTTTCTTTGAAGAACATTCTGCAAAATTCCAGTGTTTAGGGACGAGAACGGCGTAATCTCCTTCCCCGGGCTGAGAAATGGCCCAGCTCGAGAATTTGACAACTTGACTGTCTTTGTTTTGATGATGTTGGTCCATTTGCCAAATCCACGTTTGCTCTGATGATTCGTCACTGAGTGCGATCCAGGCCATGGCTTTGTTCGAATGCATGCCAATAAAGAGGCTTTCGAGGCTGGAATTTATGCTGGCCAGGCTTGAATTCATGAGACCGCATTCCTGGATAGCGTCGGAATGCGAGGCTTCCAAGCGCGAAAAGAAATAGCACTTGTCGGTGAACGAGTGCCAACCCGGGTCGCAATTTGCAGAACAAACATCAGATGCCGCTGTTGGTTTTCCTGAGCATTCGCAACTGCCAAAAGAAAAATATTTGAGAAATTGATACGAAAGAATTTCACGGTTTGTGATGACCTCAGTCATCGCGCCCTTCTCCAGAAAATTCACCGATTTTTGAAATAAATGCGACCCGGGGTTCTTGACAATAAGGGATTTTTTCTTTCTTTCGAAAAGCCACTTGTAAAGTTTTGAAAATTTGTGAATAATATTTAAAAACGCGTGTTTTTTCGTAACAAATTTCAGTTAACCCCACACGCATGACGAATTAACCTCGCTAAATTATTTAAGAAATTTAAAAATGCATGAATATTTTTTCAAAAAGTTTGAGTAACATACTTGAAAATAATTTAGTTTTCCTGAGCATTCGCGAGATCGCAACTGCCAAGAAAAAAATTTGAGAAATTTATATAAAAGTATTTCATGGTTTGTGATGCCCTTCTCCAGAAATTTCACCGATTTTGGAAATAAAACTCACCCGAGGTTCTTGACATCACGGGATTTTTTTTTGCTTTCCAGAAGCCACTTTTAAAATGTTCAAAATTTTTGAATACGATTTACAAACGTATGTTCTTGCGTCAAAAATTTCAGTTATTCCACAGGCTACACGAATTAACCTCGCAAAAATATTCGAAAAATTCAAAAAGGCGTCAAAGCTTTTTTAAGAATGTCAGTATCATATACCGTATTTAAGATTTTCCCCAATGATTTAAATGCACGAAAAATCGATCCAGAAATTGCATTGAAAAAATTTTAAAATAGGCAAAAAGCTGTTTCATGACCATAGTAACTGTGTTTGAATAAAGCCTCCAGTTTAAATATTTGATGCGTGTACGATATAAAATGCTTCGAAATATACATTTAGTAAAATTTGTAAAAGCAATCGATAAGAAACTATATTTAAATCTTTTTATCGATCGATCAATTCTTATGGCGTGCTAACACACACGTATTCTTGTATAAATTTATATTTTTTGGACCCGGCGGTTTCTTGTCAAATGTCTTTCCCAGCATGTCAATTTTACGAAGCTTCTCGAAATATATTGTTGTGGTCTTGTGTGAATTCGACTCGAATATGGACGAAAAATGCCTCCAGCTTGACTAATTTGGCATCAAAACCCTGATGAACCATGGGACAATTGTGGCCCACTTTCATTATTCCGTAACACGAATCACAAGGCAGAAAGCTCAGGCGTTTGGCAATATTGTACAATAATCAAGACTGTTGCTTGGAAAGTATCACACACACACAAAAAAAGGATGCATGCCAGGTGCGAAAGAGAAATGAAAAGATGACTAACATGAAACTTCCAGGAGTGTTGACGCAAGTTTGCGCAGTATTGCAAGCGTTCAACGCACACTCATCAATGTCCCGACACACGTTGTTGTGGTAAAAGAAGCCGTCTTTCAAACAGTGGCAAGCAAATTCCCCGCAATTTGTTGGCACGCACATCGAACCCTTCGCGGAACAAAAGTCGGCATTGGCTGGATTTTGGCAAGCGTCTTCGCATTCGCAGTTTTCCCCGCTGAATCCCCCCGGGCACAGGCAGGAATCTTTCACGCAAATCCCGTTGTTGACGCAAGTCCGGTTGCTGTTTTGACACCCACTGACGTTCCACAGCGAGTTTTTCCAGTCAAACAGCGTGTATTTGGCTGCCAATTTTGTTTTTTTACCAAACAAATTTCAAAGAAAAGGAAAACACTCCGTTTACATTTCCGCAAAGAAAAAGGAGTCCAACTGGGTCACAGTAATGTTGGGTTCCCAGACTTTCTTTTAACGCAGCGCCGATTCTTCTCGACTCCGTGATTTAAATTTCTGTTTCATAGATGTCGCCTGAATATTGCGATTGGACGAAAGTCATGTTTTCATCTCTTTTTTTTTTTACACTCCAGCTACCATTAATTGATATGACAGAGCACAAATGGGAATTAATTATTCCCTGGCTTATAGAGAAAACAATATTTTGCTAATTTTTCTCTTTTATCTGCATTAAATGAGTCTTTCTTTTTGCAAGCATTTTTTTCTGGCCTCTTGAGTTTTTGATGATTTCTGCATTGAATCATCCTGAGAATGAACTACCGTAGTTTTGAGAAATTTTGCAAAGCTATTGTTCACAAGATAGGGGATTCCAGCAAAATTTAGTCGAGGATTGGTTAAACTACCAAATTAGTATTATTTTGGACAAGCAGGACAACCCTTTGTTTTTTCCTCACATTAGATTAACTTCCGGAATAATCACACAACAAATCTGATTAACTGAATAATTTGTTTGAGACTTTTTCGTATCTCTTGGAAAAATGACCTTTACTAGTATTTTCACTGAACTCAAGAATTCCAGGAAAGGAAAAGGGGTGCTTTAAAATCTGGATCCCATTTTTTAAATAGAAATGATGAATAAAATCGTGATAAATGAGATTGTAGCTCGAATTCTCAGGAAATGGTTGCCTTTTGTTCATTTAGCTCAAAAATGCAAAACTTGACTGAATTTCTGCCAATAAACCCAAAAATCAAGGTCAATTAAAGCCTATTTTGAAATTGCAAAAGGACAAAAGTTTTGCATTTCTCCTCTCTATTTTTTCTTGTGGAATAACTCACCCGAGAATCCGCAGAGGTGTTCAGACCGACTAGACTTGAAAGCAATCTCAATAGTGTGCTCGAGATCATCCTCGTAATTGAAATGCATGTCTGGGGGTCGTTTTGTGCCACACTGGGTCAAGTTGGTGGAATCCGACCGGATGGTGAGCCAGTCGAGGCAACCCCGTTGAGTGGACTGCAACCCGAAGCACCTTTGGTCAAAGGCGAGGTTGAAGACGAACCCAGGTGGGATCGTGACCCGCCAACGACAGGAAGTGGATGCTGGGTAACTTTTGGGGTAATTCGGGGACTGAATCAGCCCGGAATGGGATTCTTTCGGGATACGCTTTGTGATGGGTTCGTCGAGTCCGCTGCAGGCTTCGGGATCTGCTGGGGAACCCGAACCCAGGGTGACAGCAGTATACACCAACACTGAAATCACTTTCATAAAGTTTTTCATCGTGACACTGAAAAAAAAACTTTCGTGGAAGCCATCAAGTCATTTAAAGACGTCCCGTTAAAAAAAAAAACATTATCGGAATTCCAGTTTTTGGTCCAAAATGTTTTGAGTCAGAATTTTTAGTGTTTATTTGGATTCAAAAGAAAGAATAATTTTCTCTTGTTCAGGGGTTTCGAGACGTGAATCGAATAATTTATTATTCCTCGCCCTTCAACCATTTTAGCTTTGCTGAAACGAAATTTAGCAAATTCTGAATACATATCTCATTGAATTATGACGGTAAACCATGCGGGGATTTTTAAAATGGTTTTGAAACATTTTGCAGAATTTATTCGGCCTGCAAACAAATGCAACACTTGAAAATGATAGGAATAAATTGTTTTTTATGAGTTTCAGTTGGAACATTGTATCTTCTCTGTATTTCAAACTAGATTTGAGTTCCTCTGGGAAATTTTCGCGCATCTTTTGAATTATCATTCGCAATAAATTGAAAGGAAAAAATGAAATTCAAACCGCTCGTTTCCTCATTTGGATGACATGTAATTCCTTTTCCTCCTTTTTATATTTATCTGGGTATTGGCACTAAGGTCAAGTGTGACTTGTGCGCATCTCCAACAACAACAAAAAATTTTTCCTTTTTTATACCCCTTTGTGGATTCCTTTCTCGCAATTTTAATTCCCGAGAGAAAAAAAAGCTGTTATGAAAGACGAGAAATCAACGGGGTTTTTTTCTAATCTCAAATTTGTTGCTGGAATCACGTTCACCATTCTTGTTCCTTCTCTGAAACATAGTTTCTGTTTACACAACCAACATGCCTTTTTTTTCTTCTTCGTTTCAGCCTGAGATTTAAACTGAAACCGAGAAGTAAGTGTGAGCGACTGAGTGGAAAAGCCAATGGAATTCGAGTCGACAGTGTCACTGACATGGGGGTTGTCTGTTCCTGAAAAATATAAACCCTCCACGTCGTCACACACGTCATTGATCAGCACCCGTGTGCTGCTTTTCAAGAGATCATCCCCCCTTTTTTTCCCCAAGTTTTGGTTTTTTTTTATGATGATCTCCTTTTTTACAATACAATATATTCATTTCTCTGGGATACTATTCGTCAGAATCATCAGCAAGGATATACGTGTTCCGACTTACGGACGCTCGGAAAAATAGGGACAAGTTCCAATCACGAATTACGTTCGCATCTTGGGGCCCCTGCTGTATTTTTTTTTTCTTGTGTCAGTTAGTCAATCGGAAGTTCACAACAGCTGTGCGATGATTTCACAGCAACCCAAAAGCCAGAAGAGAATCTGTTGACCGAGATCTGAAAGAAAGTTTGTGATTCCATCTGCTTCCTGGATTGAAAAAAAAATAAATAAAATAATAAATATTTTGGGGAAAGAGTTCGAGATATACCAGGTGTTCATTTCAAGACTTTTTTTTTCTCCTCTCATGTTTCGCAAGGAATTTGAGAGCGAGAGAGAAAAGATTATGACGAATTCTTCTGTGTGTGTGTGTTATGGCGTAATTTCGAGCGGTTATTCAAATTTCCTCCTTCCCACAATGTATACCGCACAGGTGCAATCTCGAAAGCCTCTAATTATCCCAGGTTAATGGTGTCTTAATGACTCCGCATTGTGGTTCAATGTCATTCATTACATCATCCCCGTGATTCACGGGTTGGTTTTCTTGAGAGCCAAGGGGGAAAAAAAGGCACAGGTTTTTCTTCTCTGGAAAGCTCATCTTTCATCTGTTATTCAACGAACGAAAAACATGTGTTGCGAAGGTCGACTGAGTAATGGTGGGAAAGAAAACCTTTGGACTCTGGGCAATTTTGAAAGCCGAGAAATTAGGCTAATCTCTGGGTTTCAGAGCCGGCCTTTTGTCATTCATAAAAAATGAAAACCATGGTATGTATGCAAAAAAATCGCTTCTCAAATCTGTATTTGTTCTTCTGCTACGAACATGATTCGTTTTTGAAGCAACAACACAAAAAGCACGGGTCCCAAAAATGTTTGGCTGCACTAAAAAAAATTAATACGAAATATCAAACCTTCTAGAAAATATTATGTACAAAATCCTACAGCTCGAAAAAAACATAAGCTCACACGATTCAGGAAAAAATGTAAGAAAAATTCTATGGGACCAAGAAAATTCTTTTTAAAAATATATAGGCCAAAATATCACACAAAAGATTTTTTGCGGCGCAAAAAAAAAAAGATATTTGATTCGTCTGATGTTTTTCTGTCCGTTGGTAACACTTGAGGTAATCGCGAACGAAGCTGACCAATGAATTACGCGGCGAAAGTTTTTTTGGCGGGGATGAACAGAAAGCTTTTTTAATTAATGGTAGTTTTTCCACTTGTTGATTCGTTTGAATTGGCAATTAGCCAAAACGCCTGAAACTGCGACCACGAGCTTGTCTATCGCCATTTGATTGCTGTTGTTGTTGTTGTGTTGTTGCTGTTGTTGGTTGAGATCCTGGGCATAAAAGTATGTCTGAGCACCATTTCCGTTTCCGTTTCCGTTCGAGTAGCCGTTGCTATACCTTAAAGATCCAATTCATGATGAAAATAAATGGCATGCTAAAATACATTTTGCACACTTTCCGCGGAAAAAATAGCTGATCAAGTTCACCCCGATTTCCCGGAAAAATTAAGTTATTAGTCGCATAATCATAATCTTGGCAAAATTTTACAGCAAACTTTGTCTCTGTCCCAAAATAAAATTTGAAATAAATTAATTTTTTATCAATTATTCCGCTTTCAAGGCAGATAAAAGTTTGAGCATTTATATTTTCATTTGAAGTTCCTGCAATTTTTCAGCCTTCGAAAGTCGTGCCAAAATGTTGATACTTCATGCCTTTTCTCTTCTTAGCTTAAATTCAGACCAAAGGCTCGGAAGAAAAGTGTCAAATTTTATTCCAGTGGAAAATGGTGCCCTTTTCGCTCCCCAATCTACAAATTCCAAAGTTGTATTACAACTTACACTCGAGTAAATTTTTCCTTGAAAGAACCGTATTATTTTAAATCTGATGCGATTCATGAATTATAGTTAAGCGCAATTTCGCAACAACAGAAAAATGAAGTTAAACTGCGAGTAACAGAAATTGATCTCGATGCGTGTCTCATTTCCGGTGAAAACCAATATAGAAGAGAGGAAATGACACGACATTGCTGGAAAGAGGGTAGAAAAACCCCGAATTTCAGGACCCCCAAGAAAAGCAGTGACATTGTCTCTCTAAAAAAAAAAAAAAAGAAGAAGATTGGATTCTATTTTTGCTCACCCGTTGGAATATCCGTTGTTTCCATTGGTGTATCCGTTCTGCTGACGAGCCCCATTGTTCCCATTTCCGTTTCCGTTTCCGTTGAACCCATTGCCGACGATGGAGGCAATGGTAGTGGCGACGTCGGACTGCTCGTCGATGACGACGTTGAAACCCGTCGTGCCGTCGATCGGACCCAGACCGTTGACGACGAGGTTCACTCCGTTGTTGTCGATGAATTCTTCGGGTGATGACGTCGTCGTGATTCCGAAGACACCGACACCAAAGTCTGTGCTGTCGAACCTGGCGTCAGTGATGAGGTCGTCAGTGATTGGGGCGGAAGTGACGACTATTTGCTGCCCATTTCCGTTCCCGTTTCCGTTTCCGTTCCCGTTTCCATTCCTAATCCCGGTGTTTTCAATGTTGTTGTTGTTGTTGCTGCTTCCGGATCCTCCTCGTGGACCCTAATGAAACAAATTGGTTTATTTTTAAAGTAATTAAAATCGAAGCTAAACATTTTATAATTTAACCTCATAGAGGAATTCGTTCAGGCCGAAGAACGATGAGCTGGAATCACACTCGACATTGTACCACCAATCGCAAACAAAGTATTGTTGGTTGAACATGGTGCCATTGGGGCAGAGAAAGGCATCAGCACGACCATCAGCTTGGCAGATCCAGAACACCTAGAAAGTTGAAACCAAAGACAAATTCCAGACTGAGAAGAACCGCACTTTTTTTTTATCAAGTCAGAAATAGCCCATGCGTAAAATTGAAAGGAGACTCGGTGCTGGGGACGTTTCTGTCAAAGCGCATGGATTTTTAAAAAATAAAATTTGAAATTTATCTCTGATGTGAAACGTTCAATTTTTTATTTGGAAGATTGCCTTATTATTATTTTGGGTCGCAGGTCATGAATCCATTTTCACTCGTCTCCGCCACAGAAATAAAGAATATCGCACGTGTCACACGTTTGGTTGGTTTATCACTCAATTATTTTAATTTTTTTTTAAACGGAGCAGATATATATTTCAATTATTTATTATTTAAATGTCCCCTCACTTGACAACGAGCTTCAGTGTCGGCGTAGATTCCAGCAGGGAAAGTTTGTGCCTTGCAATCAAAGTTTGTCTGTGGCACACTGGCGAAAATGGGATAGTCTTCCCCAGCCACTCCTCGGATCGGGTTCATGGCAGGGGCTCCACTTCCGGTACCAGTGACGGCGGGCTGCTGGTTAATGCTGGTGGTATCGTCTCTTTCGCCTCCTGTTGCTGCTGGTGCAGTCACTATATATATATATATATTTATTTATTTATTTACCACACATTTTTATATTAGTTTTGTTTACAAAAGAAAAAAATGAGTTCATTCGTGGGTTTTATTTTTGCATAAGCCAGGTACTTGTCAGCTCATGGAAAGCAGTTCGCTGAGAGCGCTGGCATTCATGGAAACCTGATTCTTTTTTTTTTTTTACTGTATTATATGCAGGTTACAACAAAAAACTAAAATAACTCTAGATAGGAAATGCTGATGTACTGTAAATTTGTTGTCTCAAAATGGAGACCTTCAAAGGCTGATGATTAAATACTTTCAATTTACTGTAATCTTGTTTAAAAGAATCACATTTCTATATTTTATTTTTGGTTTGTGAGAAATTTCAAGTCTACTGTACCATCAATGACGTTGTCAACAGCAGTATTGGCATCAATGATGACACCGCCATTGCCATTGGTGAATGCTCCATTGCCGTTTGTGACACCATTT